ATTCGGCTTATTTTAAGCAAGAATGGCATCACCCTGCTTATTTGTGACAAAAAATAAATTTTGTTGTTTTTGGGCTATTTTTGCAAAAAGGGAAGTTGGACCCGATGGGGGTTGCCTAAGTATCCCACATCCGGTGAGAATCAAACTAGCTTAGTTCGGGAAGATTTGACAAAAATGAAAACCAACTAATTTTAAAAACAAAACTCTCTTTTTCTTTTCTTTTTTTTTTCAAAATTTTGGCAGAGTTTCGGTATATTTTGGACACTGATTTTTCAAAACAAGTAACTATCTCTCTAAGCCTTCCCACTATTATTTTCTTTTCCCAATTTCTTCTATTATCCACAAGCCGGTCAACATGCAAATCCAAAGTAAATAAATGCATAAGTAGAAAGTAGAATGCATTAGGATGGTCTTTTCATTTCAGGTACACTTGTCTTAGACAGACCCAACCCCTGTGTTGAGCCTCCTAAGTCAAATGCACGTGATGCAAACAAACGTTCCTACTAGGGATCCGACATAAGGCTTTTTATACTAGATTTAAAACCTGAGTTTATTGTTCTAGACCTGGCTTACCTGAGCAGACAACTCGAGTAGGGGGCAGCGTACCGGGAATATAGAAGCTTCACCGGCTTAGCAACTTGTCCGAACCTCATTCTAAAATGGGATAAGACTCTAGATAGAAGAGAAGTCACACGAAGTGCACCCTTCTCCATGATGTAGAAGACTCAGAGAGAGGAAGGATTTCGTAGCAGTTTATATACAGTTCACAGAATATTAAAGCGGTAAAAGCATTTAGCACATTAGGCTCAAACATGTAGGAAAATCAGATAATAGATAAAGCCAGTCATAACAGCTATTCTAAGCTCGAATTCTTTAACCCTGAACCGAAGTTCCGAGTTTGATTCTCCAGCGGAGTCGTCAGAGCTGTCACACCTCCTTTTTACACACCTCGAGAGGTATATAAGGGAGTTTTCCAATTTAAGTGACATTATTCGAAATGAGATTATTTATTTATTTTTTCAGAGTCACCACTTGAAATAGTTTTGGTGTCCCAAGTCACCGGTTTATTTTAAATCCCAAATCGAGGAAGTTTCGACTTTCCTTTGGAAATCTGCGAACCAGAAATTCTAGATAAGGAATTCTGTTAATCCGAGGGAAGGTGTTAGGCACCCCTAGGTTCCGTGGTTCTAGCACGGTCGCTTAAACTATCATAATTGGCCTATTATCTGATTTTAATACACGTTTAGCTTATGGTATAATTTTAGATTTATTAACCGCTTTTAATTAATTTTAAAGAAGATTTAACGTCGTCTAAAACATATCTTTGGATCAAGCCACATGAAATGCACCCGCAATCCGAAACACATCTTATTCAATGTTGTTGAGATTTGGATTTGGGTAACATGAAATGCACACCCGAGTTTAGGAAGATAATATTATTAAAATAACACGCCTAAAGCAACTACACATTGTTAACTTTGCGAGGGCCATGGAAATTTGCTAAATGGCATGCCTCAAATTCTAAGGATTTTAAAAATAATTAAATGAGGGCCACACATTTGGGATTTTATTTGGCGCGGCGCGCCTCGAATTATTCTAATTTAAGGGTTTCTAAACTAATTCATGAGGGCCATAAACTACTTGTATTGTAGTATGGCTCACCTCAATTATTTAAAGAAGCTTCGTTAAAGAAAGGAAAACCTGAAAATTCACAAGGCATTTTATCAAAGTTCAAACTAAAAAGACGCAATAATTAAACAAATGCCCCTTTTTCTTTTAGATATTACGCCCGGTAGCCTACTGTATTTTTAAGGCCCAATTCAAACGTGATGCAAAATATCAGAATTGTTTACAGTATAGATGTGATCCAATTTCTATCTCAAATCTGGGCTCAAAAGGAGCCCAATATCATGTTGCAAAATGCTACCAACTCAACGATTTTGAAAGACTTGAGCTAGGCCCCAGAAGAAAGCCCAATTCAGCGACGTGGTACGAAGGCAAGGCAGGGATTCAAGGTCAAATCCCTGCAGCAGCATGATCAACATACCAGCAAGGGGGTTCAATAATCCCAAATCGATTTCAAACAAACTGAAGTTCTTTAGATCTGATTCAAACGACCATGATGCCCTTTTTAGTTTCCAAGTTGTTCTAAGACGGGATGAACAAATAAACACTTGTAAAATGAAACTCAGAACTAAGTGATTATCCTACAACCATGTTGGATTCTGATTTTTAAAACTGGCTTCAAAAGACAATTTTATACAATTGAGTACTAATTTGAAAAGGGAATTTCCAAAGACAATTTCAAAAATAAACCAGTATAACTTCACAACCATTATTTGACATTTAGCGCAACTTAAACCTTTAAACAAATCAGAACTGACTCGACTTTTATTCAAAATGAAGCTTTTCAAAAAACTTTTCAAAAAGGCAACCTAGTATGAACAAGCCAAACCAAACTCATAATCTGCATCAACATGTATTTAAAATCCATCATTATGGATTGATAACCAAACATGCTATAAGGTCTGTCTACAAGTTTAAGTTTAAACCTCGGAACAAAAATGAAATATACGAAAGAACTATACTAGGAAGAACTAAAACAAGACCATATTCGGTACTGAATAAATAGCAGGAAACTGGTATTAAACATTTCTTCAATTTTCATTACAAATGTTCATGGGTTCATTCGTCATGACAATAGATCAAGGCATACTTGGTATTGAGAGAGCAAAGAAGATGAGGTAAGAAGTCAGCAACAACAAACAGCAGTCAGCAGCAGTTTAAGGCCAATTTCAAACCTAGGAAATGATATCAAGTAGTTTAGGAATTAGTTTCAAGCAAATAACACATCAGCAAACATCAAACCAAGCTTGAATGACTCGACCTCAAACCATTTCGATCCCAAATAAGCAGAAAATTATTTCAGAAAAAATGAGAACCTTCAGATTCAAGGCCAAAGTTTAATGGAATAGTAGTTTTCTCCCAAAACCTTAGCTGTTTTTTTTTTTTTTTTTGAATTTTTTCTACCTTCCCCCCATATCTGATCCTAGCTCTTCTTAACAATGCCTTTATAGGCAAGCTAATAGGGCAGCAAAAATAGGATGAGTTTTGCCCATTGGACCTTTCTCAATTTTCAATTTTGCAGCTTAGTTCCTCATTTTTTGACTTATTTGCCAAATAAGTCTGTTTTTCAGCTTCTAAGAAGCTTCCTAAGGTTGTTATTAAAAGATTCCCTGAGTAAACTACCTAAGATACCCCCATACCCCTGAAAATTACCTTGCCAGACCAAATGAGTTATGGGTCGAATTAACCCAAGGTCCAGCCCCAAACTTGGGCTTTCCAACTAGAATGAACCCCATTTTTCTCTGGTTTTTGGATTCATCAGCAACCAAATCCAATCCATCATAAGCCCACACAAAAATTCAAACCAAAAATTCGAAATGAAACCAGAACAAGGGGAAAAAAAGAGATTCAAAATTAAACATGAGCACTAGACGAAAATCCGAATCTTAACATGATTTAAATAAAACCAAACATTACAAATGAGCAAACCACACACAATCAAAATAGAACACTGGAAAGCAACGGAACAACATGAATATCAAACAACAAATGAAAGAAAAAAGAAAACCTAGATTCAGAAATTAAAATCTTCCCAAATTCATCAGAAGAAACTAATTGAAGAAAAGTAGAAGAAAGAGAAGGGAACAGATGGTGAAACAACAAAAATAGACAGAAAAGATGAAGAAAACTTACCAATTCAAACTTGAACTTGACTGTCCTTCCAATTTAAACCACGAGATAATGTCAATCATTTGTTCTTTGTCAAGAACAGGCGAATAACATTATTTCGCGATAAAATTGGCCCTAAAAAAACTCATAAGACTAGACCATTGACCTTGCATGTGTAGTTTCGATCTTAGACTTTTAGGGCTCAACTCTTTGATTCAATATTTGAGCAGTTCAGGGGGGATTCGAATGAGATGGAGTGGAGTTTTGGAATGAGGGGAAGAAGGGGGTTCAAGGATGTTGATTTGGTGAGGATTAGTGATGGTGCCGCCACCTTAAAGTGGTGCAATTTAGGGGCGATGGGCTAGGGTTTGGACTTCGTCTCTGAGATGTAGGGGATTGAGAGAGACGATATGGGGGGGGTAATGAGTTTGGACAGGACATATATATATTAAGTGGTCCCCCACTTCTGAGCCGTTGGATTAAAGAACCTCGACGGCTCAGATCTATTGGTCACCTAAACGATGTCGTTTGATGAGAGGAGGGGCTGGACTGGGTTAAGGTACGACACGGCTGGATCTAAACGGGTTTCAGGGGAAGATTAATTTGTTCTAGGAAATTCGAACTTTGGCCCAAAAATTCTGATCTTCTCCATTCCTTTTTCCTCTTCTTTTCAGTTAATTTTTCTTCAATATTTTCTTCTTTTTTTTCAAAATTAAAATTAAAGACCTAGATTAAATCCTAAAACTAAATTAACCTATCAAAAATATTAATTAATCCTAAATAATAATTAACACGACCAATTAAAACCAAATTTAAAAAAAACTCCCCATATTCGAGATTAAACAATAAAAATGCAAAAGTAGTTATTTTTGGTGATTTTCCAATTATGTGAAACACTAATTTACTAATTAATCAAGAAAAATATAAAATTAATTCCTAAATGCAAATGCAATTTATTTTTGTATTTTTATGATTCAAACAAAATTAAACATGCACACAAAATGCGAACAAACAGAAAAATTCTATAATAACTCTTAAATAACAAATAATTAAAAAGGAAAAATCTAATTTTGGGAGTTCTCTAGGAGTAATTCATGTGAGACAAAAATCACGTGCTCACAATATTTTTATAGGTGTTTTATACTATTGTACAAGAAGAATTGAATTTGAGTCTATAGCTTATGAATTTTAATTTTAGCTCAATTTTAATCCAATATAACATAGCCCCAACCCAAAATCGAAAAGCCATCTAAGTCCAAATCTTGTTAGTCCATACCCCATGTCTCTTAAGGAGGTAAAAACAACCTAAATCTTTCTTCTCTTCTTCGGACCTGAATGACACACCCCTCATATCATCTTCTTCACACCAAAACCCTAGCACCTAACCTAACCCTAGAACACCTAAACCCTAAAGATCTGGAGTCGCCGCCGCCGCTCCCTCCCCTCATCTCAATCTTCAACAGCCTAAGACCACACCCAGTCATCCCATCTTCTTCTTCAACCAAGGGAGAGGAACCCTAGAACCCTAAGACATACTCCACTGCCACTCCTCACCAGCCACGGCACCGCGCCACCAAGCTCGCCGAATGTCCAGCAACAATCTTCAACAACCCGCCGTCACCCCTTCTCAAAAAATACCAAAAATCGGCCGCCTATATCATCCCCTTCACTTGCCAGAACTAGCCACCAGTAGCCCCCTCTTACTGCTGCCGACCAACCAGTCGTCGCTACTCCCTCATCACCTTAATTGACCGGAATTCGGCGACCACACACACGCATACATCAGTTAAAAATAGATGCAGGGAACGAGCAAACATAAAAAAAATCAAAGAAAAATAGGGTTTTGGTTTTAAGATTCTCACTTTTCAATTTCTGATTTTCAGTTGAGTCTAGCTTCATTTTTTATGTCAAATGCGAAATACATAATGAAAACTTAGGTTGTTCTTTTAGTATTGGTTTCCGAAATGGAGTTGAGTTAAAACAGGTGTTCGATTGTTGGAGTTGCCATCCGAGGTATGGTCTGTTGGTTTGGTTCAAGTTGGATTTGCTATTTTGGACTCCATTCGTAGTTGCGGTATTCTGTCCATGAACCGCCAAAACTATATTAATTTCAAGATCATTTTTCAGGTACATCTCTTTTCATCCCTCTTATTAATCAATGGATATGCTTCTTTGTTTCAACAAATTTGAATCTGCTTATGCTTTGTTTAACCTTGGTTAGTTTCATTGTTATTTTGTTTAATTTGTTTTCTTTGAATTTGTCTTATAAGATATGTTCAATAAAAATGAAGACATGAAAGAATCAAGTTGAATGGAAATGGAAAACATTGAATTATTTGGAATCGTAGGGGTTGATCAAAATGTGTTGAGTCAGTACATTAAATTAACATTGGATATGTGGGTTTAGGCTTGAGGCAATCTTATTGTTTTATCTTTAATTTGCTTGGGGTCCGCTAGCAGCATATTTAGGCCGATCACACTTGGGTAGGCAAATCGTAGGTCGCTTCTTTTATTTTATTCGAGGCGAGAGGTCGTTTCCTTTAGTTTATTATCTGGGGAATACCCCATAGGCAATGTATATATTTTATCGGGGTATACCCCAAAGTATTTGTATTTGGAGGTCGAAAGTAGAACTCGTAGTATTTTTATTTTCATTTTTTTTATTAGGTGGGGACGACCTCGAGCCTCTTGTGTTTTTATTTCTCTTTTATGTGTTTATTTTTACCTCAATTTGAATATTTTAAAAGTCAACTAGATCGAATACGCAACTGTACTAGTTACGAGACTCGGGAATGCCTAACACCTTCTCCCGGAGTCAAATGAGCCCCCTTACCCAAATCTCTGGTGTAGACTTAGTTTTGGAGTCCAAAGTATTTTAAAAGGAAAAATCATTTTTAGAAAAACGGTTACTTGACCAACCGAAATCAAATGTTAGGTGGCAACTCTGAGTTAATCCTTTTGAACATAAATTTTTGTCACTTTCTAATTGAAAACCCTTTTGATCTTTACAAATCTTTTTATTTTATGAGGGTTAGTGGAGTGTAAAAAAGGGGTGTGACAGCTCTGGCGACTCTGCTGGGGAGTTGCAGGTTCGAGCTGGTACTTGATTTTGTTGGCTTTTTAGAATATACGGTTGAGGTTTTTATGTTTTCTTTATTTGCTTTATTTGATTTTTATTTTTTTTATGTTGCTTTATTTTCTAGTTGTTTTATGTGTTTACATATTTTCCTTTATGTGGTACTTCTTTATAACTGTCATCATATGCATTATCCTGAGTCAATTCTTTCTGCAATAAGTCTCGGAGTACGCCTCGCGTACATGAACTCTTTGTTGAGTCACCCTTATTTTAGGAGGGGGGTCGGACGTATGGAGTGGGTGGAAAGCTTGAGCAGCCACTATCGACCATACGCTCCCCCGAATTGCCTTATTAGTGAACCCCAAACATAGGTCAGCCTTTAGGTCATTTTTATTTGCATCATATCATTATGACCTAGCAGGGCCCGGTACTAGGTGCCTTGTCCTTTGTAGAAAACCTGTACAAATTGTGTCAAATGGGCTCGCTAGCCCAAAATGACATTCAATCATCCTATGTGCTAAATGTTGCATCTACGAAGGTAGAAAGGTCGTTTGGCAGACCGATGTTTTGAAAAGAAGAGTGAAAAATGAATCAAGTAGGGCCCAATTATATTTTTCTTTCATAACTTTTTCAAGAAAAGACCAAAAGAATTGAAAATGAAAATCCAAAAAAGATTTTGCACTTTCCCATCTTTTTTTCAAAAAAAAAATGAATCAAAAAAGTGAAAAAAAAATCCAAAAGATTTTACATGTTTCATCATTTTTCAAAAAAAAAAGACAAAAATATGTTTTCTCCAAATCAGTATTTTTTTTAATTCTCTCCCGTATTTAATCTTCCCGAACTATGCATACATGATTTTCGTCTTTTGGGGCGGGATACGTAAGCAGCCACATAGGGTCCGGTCTTCCTAGTGAGTCTTAGGTTCTTGGCTTCGGGGGTCATAGCCAAATCTTGCATTGTCTAGCCAATTCTGGCCACATCGGCTGTTCTTGCAAAATAGGGTTATTTTCGTAAAAGTGGTTCAGTGACCCATGTCTTAGGTCCTAAGTCCACAACAAAGTGTCATCTTTGTTTAAGGTCCATTCCTGTCAAATTTGCATGCTTAGCCATTTTTGGCCACATAGGCCATTTCTGCAAAGTGGGGTCATTTTTGCAAAGTAACTTTAGAGGTTATGATTCCTTGAAGTTTAAGGCCATATAGGCCTTTATGAGATTTTTCCTTATTGAGTTTTGCACTTTCAGTCACTTTTGGCTACTTAAGCCTTTTCGCAAAAACTATCTCATTTGTGACTTGTACGTGTCCAATAGATAGTGTCTCGAGTCACTAACTCTGTTTGGTCTCATTTTTCTCATTCAGGTATGAATCCATTTATCAGAGCTTGAGCATGACAGATACCTCATGACCATCGTATTTAAGAGCTATTTGAGGAGATTTTTTTATATTTTTGAGTATGTTTTGTCTTTTATTTTACATGTCTTGTCTAGTTGTATTGATTATTTTAGGTGGTGTCACAGTTTATCGTAATCTAGTTAAGTTTGTTGAGTCTTTTGTTATCGTACTTCCTATGATGTACTTGAAAAGAAAAAAAATTATAAATGAAAAATTCAAAAAGATTTTTGTTTTTAGTTTTTTTTTCATTACTTTTCCAGAACTACGCTTGGTCTAATTCAAAAGGGACATGATACGTAGGAAACCTACATAGAGTTCGATCGAATCATTAATTAAAAAAATGAATGAAGTTACAGGTCGTGAAAAATGAGAGGAAACTGTGTGATGTAAGTAAAGAGCAATAATCAGAAAGAAAAGAGAGGAAAGAAAATGAGCAAGCCAAGGAGTGCTAAAGATAAAAATGAAGAGTAAACGAGGCAAGAAGAGTGAAATTGGGATGATGCCATATGACCTTCGTACCCTCGAAGTCATTCTAGAACCGTTAATTGTTGCGAGGGGCATTGCACGTAATGTGATATTTCTGTCTGATAAATGCCCTAACGCTAACATGTTGGATTTGTTTTGCTCTTCTTTGTTACTTTCATTGTTATCATAACAGAGGGTGGTTAGTTTGTGGCACTTTGGCGATTCGTCCATACAACACAAGGTCAAAGAGCACGGTAGCCGTGGCTAGCAAAGAAACAGACACTGGGGTTGTAAACCCACCAAGGGAGATTGTAGAATTAGAATCGTAACTGAAAGAGGAGGTCCGGAGGTTGAAATATCAGATGGTGGAAATGTATTGGGCCTGGAATAAGGGACACCCTCCACCTTCATTCCTTACCAACTATTCTGAAAACCCTGCTTCCATTCCACCACTCTCCCAAGCCCAGATGCCAAGTAACTTTTCCCCACAACACGCACAAGGTTTCACCCCTTACCACTCCTACCCCGACACTTCAGCCCAAATTTTTCATGCTCTACCCGCCAAAACAACCTCATACCCTGATCTGACATCTGCTCCTATTTTTGTACCCTCTTCACAAGTTACCCTCCACCAATCCTCTAGTGAGCCTGCATTTCAAGCTCTAAATACCTAATATTATGCCCCGGAACCTACCTTCAATGTCCCAGATCCTTACTCCTACACTCCTTACTTTGAGCCTCATGTTGAAACTGAGATACCACCCAAGAACGCGGAGCAAGAGGAGATGTTTAGGAAAGTAAAGAGTCTGGAGCAATCATTGAGAAATATGCAAGGGTTAGGAAGCCAGGTAAGTGTGGCTTATAAGGATTTGTGTTTGTTCCCTGATGTCCAACTACTTGTTGGGTTCAACATGCCCAAGTTTGACTTGTATGATGGACATGGGGATCATGTAGCTCATCTGAGAGGTTATTGCAGTAAAATAAGAGGCATTGGGGGAAAAGATAAATTGTTGATGGCTTACTTCAGCCAGAGTCTGAGTGGGATGCTTTAGAATGGTACACCCGCCAGGACGCCCGCAGGTGGTACACTTGGGACGATTTGGCTCAGGCCTTTGCTCGGCATTTTCAGTACAATATAGATATTGTCCCAGATCGCCTATCCTTGACCAAGATAGAGAAGAAACCCAGTGAAAGTTTCACGAAATATGATTTCAGATGGAGATAGCGTGCTGCATGAGTCAATCCTTCGATAGGAGAAGATGAAATGGTCGAGTACTTTCTTCAAGCTCAAGAGCCTACTTTCTTTAGGCATTTGATCTCGGCTTTGGGTAAGCCTTTTATTGATGTGGTAAAAATGGAAGAAATGGGAGGAGATGGGTTGAAGTCAAGTAAGATCATGAGTTATTCTGCCTTAAAATCCACAACACAAGTAATTCAGAACGACATAGGAAGCTTGCCGGGTCAGAAGAAAAATGATGATGTTGCCATGGTTGTCTCAGGATCACGACATGGACCAATAAGTCTGCCTTACCAATATACTCAGCCTCGACCCTGACCCCAACTCCAAACCTATCCCCGAGATCCACATAATCCACCTCAGTATTATCCTCCGAACAACGTCTAATCATTTGTTCAACCATTGGGTCACTCCTTATGGCGAGCACCAGAACCACATAATACTCTTTCGCCTTCACAACATTTTCGAGCACCCAACAACCCTATAAAACAGGGTCATAGAGGGGAACAAATGCAAAGAAATAGTTTCACGCTAATCGGAGAATCCTATACAAGCTTGTTTGAAAAGTTAAAATAGTCTAGCCTGATTGAGTCGCTCCTCGGCTATACTCCGAACCCATATGCAAAAGTTTTTTATCCTACTGTACGATGCATGTACCACTCTAATGTCCAAGGGTATAGCATTGAAGATTGTCGTGCTTTGAAAAGGGAGATAGAAAGAATAATTCAAGAAGGGAAAATTATGGTCCAGGATATTGACACCCAGAACATAGCGCATAATCCTTTACCTACACATGATGATGCACACTTTGTGGGGAGGATGTGTGGTGACAGGGAGTATGAGAATCCTCTTGGGAACTTGCTGACTGAAGTTAATGATATTGAAATTGGTGAAGGTCCTAGTAATTTTGATGTGCAACCCAGTGGCTAAGATGTCGAGCTTGGTAATTGGAAAGACACTCCTTTCTTGGCTAGCCATGGAGGAGTTTTGGTGGTTTATTTTGTTCTCATTTCTTTTGTCCGGGTTATTTTAGGGTTATAATCCGAATATTGTCTTGTGTCTCAAACCCTTCTTTTTCTTATTTTTCCTAGTTCGTTTAGTGGTAGTAACTCGTCTAGTGTTATCTAGGATTGTTCCAGGGTTTTATTCAAACCCTTTTCACCATCTGTCTAATGCAATCTCTTGTTTTCTATTAGTTCTATTCAGTTTTTGTTTAGGTCACTTTTCCTTTATAGTTCTTTTTATGCTAACTCTAGTAACATGACATGCACCCATAATTCTCAGCCTGGTCTTGATATTTAGTTTAATTATGAAGCAATGGCACAATTTTGAATATGATAAAAGGAAGCATTTGATGGAACAAGCAAAGATTCACGCATCTAAGATAACTTGAAGCTTGAATTGAGTGAAACTAAGGCAGTTAGTTTGGGAAATCAAGAGGTTGATAAGAGCATACAACAAGGAAATATTTGTCAAGCAGTTTGAGGTAGATCAGTCAGTGTTGAAATACATTCTTCCACATCAAGATAAGGTTGAGTCAAGTTTGCTTCTAATTGGCAAGGATCATTCATTGGGACAAAGGTATTGCCCGTCGGCACTTTTTGTTTATTTTGATGCCATCAGTAGATACTATGTATGATTTCTCTGCTTATCTTCAATTGCATGCTTGTACCTAACATTTTTAAAGTTTGGTATGACGAAGGCATTTTATTCTGCTACCCAAATACTTCTATCTTTTGCTACCCCTTTTGAGCCTAATTTGTTTTGTTTCATACCCCTCTTTTGTAATCAGAAATAGAGTTATGAACTAGAAAAGAAAAAGAAAAAAAGAGAAAAAAAAGAAAAAGAAAAGAGAACAAGAAGAAAAGAAAAGAAAAGAAAAAAAGGAAAAAAAGAGAAGGAAAAGAAAAAGAAAAACAACAAAAAACCAATTTTGTGTTGGAACTACGTTCGGCCTGATTCCTTTTAAGAATACGTAGGCAGCCTTACTCTGAGGTTTGGTCCCATCAAAGTAAAAATCCAAAAAAAAAAATCCCTAGACTCCAAGAAACCGGGGCAGAAGTTTGAATTTTGCCAAAAATTTTATTCCAAAAGTTGTAATTTTGAACCCTTTCATCTTAAATTATTTTGAGCCTTCATGCCACCCTTTCTTTCCAACCTTGTCCAAAAGCCTACATTACAGTCCAAAGAAAGACCTTTCGACCAATCTTTGAGGATGTCAAATCAAGTGTGTAGTGAAAGTATGATCTTCTTGTATCATGGGTAATACCTTGTTCTAAGCACAAAGAGAGAAAATGATAAAATAAGAGAGTCTTATCGATAAAAACCCTCATGGGCATCGTAAGGCGATAGTGAGTTGAGAAAAGGAGCAAAATGAGAGAGGCTTGATGGTGAAAACCCTTCAGGGCACTACAAGTCGACTGAGGATCGTGGATTAAATATGATAATTGGAGCTTGGAATCCCAGTTTCACAACTTAGAGGCATAACAAGAGTTGAAGATTAGAATCAATTGACAAATCGGGCCGCTTAATCCAAAATGCATGTCATGGTCAGTGGAGATGACCTTCAAATCAGATTAGTTTCTACTTTTTTCTTTTTCTTGGGTAAAAATATTTTCGTGTTAGATACCATCTCTTCTCGTTTTTTACCTTATTTTGTTCCTTTTGTTTTGTTTGTGTCCCTTTTGATATGTTTTTCTCAAAACAAGTGAGAAATGACTTCAAAATCTGCTACCAGCTTTTTAATCACACAAAGCCGAGTCTGGTAAGCACATCAAAATCGCATAAGACACAGGAGAATAGTGTGTGCACTGAGTTGGTGATAATAGATATTCTTTGGGATTGATGTAAAATACAAAGATTTGGTGAATGTTAGAACACAAGTGCAATGCATCGGGCATAAGGTATTGGACTTGAATGAATCAGGAATATTTCTTGTGATAAGGGTTATCCAGAAAAGCGATCGGTCGATAATATGCACTGTCTTCCAAGTTGAAGTCCAAGTTGGTCGTGACAATTGCAAGAGAAATCGCCCTCGTAATCAAGGCCACAAACTAACCACCATGTTTTAAACTCACAAGTTTTCTTTGTGTGAAACAGAGATGAAGGTTATGTTCATATCAAAGCTAGAATTTTTCAGGTGTAATTCCCCAATTTTGCTTGCGCAAAGGCTATTAAGAAAATCACATATCACCCCTAGGAGACACACTTCCTAGTCTGGGTCCTTTAAGTTATATTTTATTTTAGAAGACACACTTCCTAAATTGAGATTCCACCCCTAGGAGACACACTTCCTAGTTTTGGTCATTTAAATTCATCCCTAGGAGATGCACGTCCTAGTTGGAGTCATTAAAGTTCCACTTCTAGGAGACGCACTTCCTAGTCTGGGTCTTTCAAGTTATATTTTATTTTAGGAGACGCACTTCCTAAATTGAGATTTTACCCCTATGAGATGCACTTCCTAGTTTTGGGTCATTTAAGTTCATTCCTAGGAGACACACTTCCTAGTTCTAGTCATTGAAGTTTCACCCCTAG